CTTTTTATAGGTGGTAAAGTACAGTTATAGTAAGTACTGTATATAGTACTTTATAAAAATCATTTTAAAAAATACAGATGTTACATCCCTGCTGTGCACAGTGTTCTGGGGATTTGTTCTTCAGCACTTTCATCCTTTTTTGGTTTCCCATCTGTTTTTGTGTACTAAGTAGCATGAACTGTGGTCCTGATGGCTTTAATATGTTGGATGTTAAAAGGAACCATGCACATTTTGGCTGCCTGAATTGGTAGGGTCTGCTTTCTCAAAAGTATCCCTTGTTCTTTTTCCTGGTCATGCCTATCACTTTGGCAAACCCCTTGAGGGCATTTTCATATAGGCCTGGTGGCCTGTGTGTCTGGGAAGAAGAATGGCAAATTAAAACAATGTTAGTGCATTACATCATGCCTAAGACATGACATTCATTCTAAATAGGTCAACTCGTGTGGAAGCCACACCTTTTCATCTGCATGCAGTTCAAGCACTTAGCAGAAGTACAGGACTGGCATCACATTCGGGACATAGCTTTGTACTCTGTGCACATCAGAAAGATTACAAATGCAAATGAGAAAAGGCCCTTCTATCTTGTAAAGTAGAATATAATCCAGATTGCCATGACCTTTACTAGGAATAAGAGGCTTTCTGATTATATATATTATGTGTTGTTTTTAAATTAGAATGAACATTTCCAAATTCTCCAGACCTGCATCTCAGTGTATTTGTATGTCTTAATTTTTACCAGAAATATTACTGAAAATGCATTATTATCAAAGAAAAATAATAATTCATTCCATTAATATAGAATTTATAATCCTGAAGGATCCCAAAGTGCTTTAAATGTAAGAGGGGACCTACTTCATTATTCTAGCTGCCCATTTCCAGCGAAAGTTTTATTCTTATTGAGCATTATGGTCATGGTGAGGCTGTACATATTCTGCTTGTCACAGGGCACATGGCAGGACTACACCATATCGGACACCAGTGCATTTTAGAATCCTGTTCATTGCTGTTTTTTTTTTCTGACCAGCATTGGCAAAATGAGCTAATTACATGCCGTAATATATATAAAAAAGCACCATATTGCATATTCAGATCATACATCAGATATTGTACACATCAGGTCATTAATGCATCACAAATGATATGGTCCTGTAGAAAAACAAATAAAATCATCTTCATCACCGAAATAATTTATTTCTGTAAGTAGAATTAGTGATTTCAGGATTTTCACAACAGAAGATTAGGAATCATTCATCATCACAACTATCTTTATACGTTTGACTTTAAAAGGTGGTGGTATAGTGGGTAATTCTTTGGATTCATAGCTGCCAGGCTGTGGATTTAAGTCCCTGCTGCCGATACTGCTGTTGTGCCTTGAGTGAGGTACTTTACTCCAGTAGCTCTAGTCCAACTAGCTGTATAAGTGGGGGACCAGTGTTGCTGGAGGTAATCCCTTTGATGGACTATTGTCCCATCTGGGAGAGGAGCTGTGTGCTCTGTAGTCTGCATCATGCTACAGAGAGAAGGATGAGCTCTGTCTTGTGAGCTGCTGGACTCGACCAGTTTTACATTTATTTTTTTAATAGGCCTGCAGTTCTTTTTAGATTGCATTGAACACTAGTAACCAAAGAGTAATCAGCTGTTCAGAAGATTGGGCTCTGAGGATTTACTGAATTTCAATCAAATTTATCTGAGGGATTATCAGTCCTGTATAAAGAAAATAACAAAGATAGAATCATCCTGACATCCCAGAAGGGTTCCATTTTTGAGGAACACATGAGGAACCCATTCTGAGGGGATATTGCAGATAGACAGTAGTAGTGGCACTATGTTTATGCAAAGTCTGACGTACAGATGGGATCAGAGCACTTTAGACATTGCTTGCATTGTTACCTGATTTGTCACACATTGGTTTGAGGAGAGAGAGATAGAGGGGTTATTTGCTACAGCACAGGTGCTGTACCTCAAGCGTGCGTTGCATTTTCCTAGCCTGAAGGAAAACATCAACAAATTGAAAATTTCCACACACTTAACAAGAAGCCATGCTGCAGTCCTGATGTCACCCGCTTAATGTTATTTAAATTGTGGTAGTCCACAAGCTGCAAAGTTTTAAACATCCTGTGGTTCTTTTAACTAGTGAACGTCAGTCAGAGACTAATTCAAAGTTACTGTAATTTACCTCAAAGAAGTCTTCTGGTGAGACAAAATGCAAGAAAATGCTTTCCTCTGCCTTTTGTCCATTCCGTTGTACTTCACTGCCATTGTACATCAATTCTATTGACCATATGAGTAGTACCATTGGCACTCAGTCCTACTTCAAGCCTTTCAGTTCATCCCACTAGATCACATAAAAGACTTATGAAAGTATAAAGGCTGGATGGGGCTGCTGCACTTTAATGTCTGCTGCATATTAAAGCTGGGTGACATAGGTGCCCTCCTATATGTAAAAAGATTTAGAAAGAAAAGCACTGCTTAAACGTGATGATGAGATCCAATCATTCCGTTTGAAAAACTGAATAATTTTTTCAAACTCTGATTTTCTCCATAATTTCCCTTTGATGTCTGGGAAGGTATGCAGGTTGGATTCTAGCTCCTTGGTTAAAAACACTTTCAGCCCTTTGACCCCTCAAGAATTCATGAATGTCTTAAGCTGTTCTGATAGCAACGATAGCAGTCTGAATGTACAAAGTCATTATAGTGTTCATTTTCCATCTTTTTGTCATGACGTTTAGACAGAATATGCTTTGCCTCTGCTTGTTCTTCCTCTTATGCTTTAGCTCTTGTGTAGTTTCTTATGGGATGACACATGACAACATGTCTCTGCAGCCTACATGTTTGATGTCTGGTTACTGGGGACAGTGTTCACTGGCTGAAAAACTCTGAACTTGAATTTGAATTGAAGTTCAGGGTTCCAGGAGATTCCTTGAGCCTTTATACAGGTGTTCACAGCAGCCCATTGAAATATTTGTGCTAATTGTCACTGCTTCTGGCACAGTAAAAACACAGTTTAAAATACTCTTAATACCAGCATGCGCCATTTTGATGTTACTGTACTTACAGTAATGCATATCTTGAAGTTGTTTTGTTATATTCTCCCTCAGCAGAGATGCTTTGGCTTCTTTCTTTATCAGAAATTATAGCTATTGGCTTATTGTTTAGTAACAACATTGTACTATTTACCAAAGAGTATGAAAAGCATTTCAGCTTATTGTTTGCCTGCACTGAGGAATGGTTAAGAATTGAATTCTTGTAACAATCTGACAAACAAGATAACTTTGTTTATGGCATATGAAATGGAAAGCTACATTGTAGTTATTAAATGTGGTTTATATTTTAAACATCTGCTGTTGCATACCACTCTGAAAGCATAGTGTGTAAATAAAGTGTTCCTCACTTTTCTTTTAAACTCAGCACTCTTCTCCTTGAGAATGCTCAAACCAGCTAAATGAGAAGATCCTGTTGTTCTTCGCAATTAGCATCAGAAGAGGCACTGCAGAAAGCTTTAGAACTGTATTCAATTGTTTCAGTTCTAATAGGCTTTCACAATAAGGATCGACACAGAGCAGTGGTTCTCATGTGGTATCTGGATTGCCTTTGTCAAAGATCCATGCCCATTAAAAAAATCCTTATTAACATTGCAAGAGAGCAGGGGCCTTCAATTAGGATGGGTGACGAGGTTTGAAGCATTTTTAAAGACAGGAGATGAAAGTGGCGTAGACAACTAGCACTCCAATGATGTGTGGACATTGTAATCCCCCAAATGTCCATCAAGTGCTGGTGCTTTACCTGTGAAGTGGTGCAAACTATCTATGAGATCCTGATTTGAAATTTAATTAAAATGGGACTCTGCATGGTATTACCTAATCTAACTACAATGTTACAGTTTCTTTTAATGTGTTGTTGTGCTGATAATTAGACAAAAATATTTGTTATAAATTATTTGTTATCATTTGTTGCAGAGCTATACAATATCATTGAGTCTTTAAATGGATGCATTCACTATCATTTTTTTAATTGTGCACTGTATCTGGTTTAATGGTCTCTTAAGGTTTAGGAGTCAGCTAGTTATAATAAGACTTGATTTCTTAACAGACATTGGACCCCCATCAGGATGTGTCTGCATTTTTTCTCCGGACTAAATGCTGGCCATAGGATATGCCATGTCCAGGATATACAGTATATGACTTAGTTCTGCAAAAAAACAGCAAAATGCTGACAGAACTTGGCAGCAAATCTAAACAATAAATCACACAAGCATCTGCTAATGAGAAAATATTGAACGGCTGGTTTCCCTAGGGGCCGAGCAGCTGAACCTTCAGTGAGCACAAAATGGTATTTGAACATTTTTTCAAGAAGCGTCTCACTCTGCACACTGCAAAGGCTTCGCGATCCTAAGACATGTTTTATTTGTGATGCAAGACAAAGGGCAGACGCATTGTGACACTGTTAGAAAATCTTGCCAAGCTTTCAGTGTCCCTTAGCGTGCACATTATGAGCTGCGCCAGAATTCCATTTATAGCTTTTGTGTTCCTCATTGTATTGCCTTTGAGGTGTTGTTTTTGCTAGAAATACGTGACGCGAGTCTGAAAACTTCTAGCTGCCCTTTGAGAGTATGTACAGGGAGAGGACTTGAGTGTGTGCAAACTTTATTACTGTCTGTGTGGATACATGAGATTTCAATTCTATTCTATTAAGAGGGCCCACATTTGTGCCTACTATCTGACTGCTGGAGTTAGTGATTGATATTTCAGCTCCTTCATTCCTACCTTCACTCACAGAGTGTGTCCTACAGTAACACATTTAATTTTATAATTTTATAAGTTTTAGTTTAAGATACAACTCACAAATATTGAATGAATCATTGCTGTGTTACATTGCTTGTTCTCAGTCATTTCAGGACCATAACCTATAAACAAAACTGTCCAAAATGTATTCTGCAGGTTTTACAGTCTGTTGTGCGGCTTATTTTTTAATATTGCCTTTTCGCTCGTTCTTTTTTTCAGAGTGACAGACTATTGATCAAAGGAGGAAGAATTGTGAATGATGACCAGTCATTTTATGCAGATATCTACATGGAAGATGGGCTCATTAAGTATGTATTATGTGCACTCCTTTATTGGCTCCTCAGTCAGTCAGAATAATTCTGACAACCAGCGCTTGTGTATGCTTGGCCTGAGTGCTAGGCATGAGATTATATCAGAAATTCCAGACCGTTCCCGGAATGTCACTGTATTATGTTTGCTGCACTAGAATCGTCAATTATCTCCATTGTTTTGAGCTCTTAGAATACAGGGAAGTGCGTGACAGACAATCAAAAATAATAGCTATGGAAAATTACGCTCCAGCTTTTAGAGACCTTTTAGTTTACTATAGAGCAGACCATAAATTAGCTTCCGCATGATAAAGCAAGAGGTTAGAGCAGGGAGCTGTATCAGTGTACAAGCTACAAAGGAGCAAGTGGAAGTTAATTCTGTGCTGAAAAGTAAAAAAAATATGTTGTCTTCTTTCTTCTTACTGTATTTTGATGTCGTATTGGTAAAAATAGAATACAAACCATTTATAGACAAGGGAAGCTATTTCAGGGATAGCTGATTTTTCTTTATGTGCAATCTAGTAACAGAAGAACAACATACTGTATATCATATGAACTTATGTGACCACTGTAGCAATTTATCATTCTGTAGGGAGAATATCAATAACAATCTCTATTGCCAGGCAAATTGGAGACAACTTGATTGTTCCGGGAGGAGTGAAAGTCATTGAAGCCAATGGGAAGATGGTCATTCCAGGAGGCATCGACATCCACACTCATTTCCAGATGCCCTACAGGGGCACCACCACAGTGGATGACTTCTCTCAGGGCACCAAAGCCGCACTGGCTGGAGGAACCACCATGATCGGTGAGGACCAGTCAGTCTGTCCTGCCATCAGACCACAGGAGCCTTTAGTTTCTCATACAAGTGCCAAAGAAGAAGACAACCTTATGCACTATAAAGATAGCAATAGCACTGATGTTAACCCCCTTCCCAGCAGGCTCAGTAAGAGACCCTGAGAGACGTAATAAAAATACCTAATTAAAACTAGTGAATGAGTGTGCATAAGCAGTTCACAATTGTTGCTGAGAATGAAAGCAATCTGCTTTAGACTTTGAACCTTTCTCCAGAAATCCACTTAAAGAAAGGGAAACTCCTGGAAAAGTAACTAGATTGATCCACGTTGAATAAAAGCCAGAGATAAGAAAAGCGAGGTAGAGCAGATTTTTGTACACTAAAATAAAACTGGAGAGTGGATCACATTTCTCTTTTAAAGTTTTCAGCAGTATACAACTGCAAGGGTTGTGCAACTTTCTCATCTGAATTTAATCTCCACAGAATGTTAAGTAGCAACAAGTAAGCATAGCAATTATGCAGTGAAAGCAATAATAAAATGAAAAATGTCTTAATTACTGTATCAGTTTAACATGGCAAGCATTTTTATGTGATTTTTTATGTAAAAAAGACAAGTGGTCAGTGGATTGAGCTGCTCCCGTTGGCCTGTGGTTTAGCTGGCATGAATGATTTTTCATCTCAAGTGTGAACAAATTTAAAACAGGGATGCTGTGCCAGCAGGAAAATGGTTGTTTGAAAATTACCAAGGGTTTATGTCCAGCAGAGGTTCCAGCTAGATTGTCTATCCAGACCTCAGGCTTTCTATTAACTCTATCTAAACCCCAAGGCTTAACACTTTCTGAGGATAAAAGAGGGAGAGTTTAGTTGAGTGACTAATAAGTGAGCTATATGCTGAACCACTGCTTACAGAGCAATACTATATAGCATTACCTGCAACTCACACCCAGCAACTCACTGAAGCTCAGCAGGTGTGAGCCTGGCCAGTACCTGAGTGGGAGACCTGGGAAAAACTAAGGCTGCTGCTGGATGAGGTGTGAGTGGGACCAGTAGGGGGTGCTCAATCTGCAGTCTGAGTGAGTCCTAATGTCCCAGTAGGGTGACGGGGACACTATATTGTATAAAAGACGTTCGGAGATGTTAAACCAAGGTCCTGACTGTCTGTGGTCATTAAAAATCCTTGGGAATATCTCAAATACAATAGGGAAGTTACCATGGTGCCCTGGCCAAATTTCTCCATGTCCTTTAAGAATCATGGCCTCCTAATAATCCCCATTTATGAATTGGCTTTATTGGCTTAACTCAGCTGATGTTGAGTGTGAGTGTACCGTTACATCACCCAGGTGGTGCTACACACTCGTGGATTGGAGTCCCTACTGCCTGTTAAGCACTTTGAGTGTCCAGAAAAGCACTATTTAAGTGTAGGGTTATTATTATTATAATTATAGTATTGTCCAGGGTGTATCCTGCCTTGCTCCCATTGCATGCTGGGCTAGACTCTGGCTCCCATGTGAACCTTTAGTGGTTAAAGAAGTTAGAAAATGGATAGATGGATTATCTGCAGTGTGTTCTACCCTATCTTGGTGATGATGATGATTTTTATTTTGCACTGATACAGCAGCATCGTTAGAGAAATAGTTCAGTCTTTTTCCTCAGTTGTAAGATGTGGGAGCTTTCCGTACTCTCCAGTGAAAAGGACTTCCTTAGTTTTCATCGTTCTCCGACATACTTGCCTGCGGCCAGAAAAGCTTTCCTCTCCCCTTTGTTCCCGACTGCTGCATTCATATTGCATGACTTCCTTGCAGTGGACCATGTCATCCCGGAACCTGGCTCCAGCCTCATCGAGGCCTTCGAGCGCTGGAGGGAGTGGGCCGACGACAAGGCGTGCTGCGATTACTCCCTACACGTGGACATCACTCACTGGAACGACAGCGTCAAGCAGGAGGTGGAAACTCTCATCAAGGAGAAAGGTGGGGATTGCTCACATAGCTTGAAAGGGTCTTGTTGGTTAGCAATCAGAAGAGTTCAAGGATTACCATTTTCCAAATGGCTGTAAGAGGCCATCATTCATAAAACAGTTCTATTTTATATGATAGAATGAAGTTTTAAAAATGTTCAAACATTCAAACATTTAAAGTACTAAAGCTATGGGCAGCATGGTGGTGCAGTGGTTAGCATTTCTGCCTCGCAGTGCTGAGCCCCTGTGATCAATTCCTGGGGTGCTGTCTGCATGGAGTTTGTGTGTTCTCCCGGTGCTCATGGGAGTTTCCTCCAGGTTCTTGAGTTTTCTCCCACATGCCAAGTACATCTGGGCTTCTGGGAAAATTGCCCCTGGTGTGAGTGTGTGTGTCCTGCAAAGGACTGGCATCCCATAACTTTATTTAGATCTTGTGCCCATTGCTTATCAGTATGTTTTGGATAAAGCGTTTAGAAAATGAATGGACTAACTAAAGTTATTTGTTTTTGGAAATAGTGCTGCTGCAATTTTTACTCTAAATGGAGGATTATGCATTTATAAACATACAGCCTTTATGTAACAGAAGCATAGCACTATAAATAGGAATTTTGATCGTTTTGAAAATTTGGTTTAGTTTTTGAGATATAGTTATTTGTGCACTAATAAAAAAATATACTCGGCAGTCTTTAAAGAGCATGACTAAGTGTTTGGAATAAGAAAAGGTCATGCATTGCAGGGGGAATTACTGTCACAGACTTGAAGGCCTGCTGGAGGAACTGCTAATCTGGCAGGCTTCCGTCTTTGCAAAGGTTTTACCTGAGCAGCCCTCTTATTTCTTTCAAACATCGGTGAGGAAAGAGGCTTAGTGTTGCCAGTAGCAGCTGTTTACAACAAAGACTTTCAGTCACTGCAACACCACACCACCAAGTTCTCTTCTGTGAGGGTTTTGTATACTTTTTTGTAGATTTTTCAACTGGTGTCATATTTTTTCTGCATTTTCTTTTTCTTTCATAGCCAACAGAATAGCATACTGTTATTGTTAGACCCAGGAGTGCAAAATATGTAGCTACCAGGACTAAAAATTATCATTATTTGAAAATAAAAAATACTCTAACCTACATGGAATTGCGTGTATGTTATTGTTATCACACAGCCTGTGATACAGAAGGGGTATTTGAATAAAAGTTGTATCCTAATCCCACAGTCCAGTTTTGTCAATAAAAGAACAACAGTAAAGGGCCAGTGTAAATTATCTAAATGCAAAAATGCTCTCTGTACCTAATTTTGAAAAAACAGAAGGTTCTGATTCATCTGTAATTCAAAAATAAGACCAATTTCTGGTCTTGGAGCATAGCTCAGTAAATCACTCTCAAGTCTTGTGTTTATAGCACAGATATAAGTTTGGCTGACGTCCAAAGGCATTGAACTGAAAGTTGTTACTATTAAAGATATTAAAAGTAATTTGAGACTGTCTGCTTTTTAGTTAAAAGCATTGAACATGGTTCAGCAATACTAGACATGCGGTCCATTTGTGGTATTAACCAAAACACAATGACACATGTGCACGAGGGTGTGGTGCCCTTGGCTGTTTAGAGGATTTATGATCAATTTGTAAAATTATGGAGAAAAGGAGAATGTAAAAAAAGATCATCATGTGTAGCCACAAATGTCCAGTAGCAGCGGCACTCTAATTACAATGCAGCTCAGTTCAGCTTACAACTGTATGGTTCCACAGTCATGGACTCCTGAATGAAAACAGACGTCTGCAGGATCATCTACGCTCATTCCATTAACTTGAACTTGAACTTTATTGCCATAGGTAACCGGTACATGTACTGGTACGATGGAATTCTTACTTACAGAAAGTCTCTCTATTGTTAAAAAAAAGTGTAAAACACAAGGTGCAGACAGTGCATCAAGACAATATACAAACAAACAGTAGACAATGTACAAGTAAACAGTTTGAATGTAAACAATCCAAACATGTAAATAATGACTGCAGATGAAGTAATTGATAAATACAATTTTAATGAGGTACAGTAGATGATATAGGCGTGGTCCGAGTGACATGGCCAAATGTGTTCGCCAGTATCACTACTTGTGGGTGGAAGCTATTGAAGAATCTGGTGGTAAGTGTCCATCTGCTCTTGTACTGTATCTCTTGTCTGAGGGTAGTGGGGTGAAGAGCTCATGCTGGGGTGGTGACTGTCCTCTGTGATGGCCAGAATTCTACCACAGCAGCAGTCATAGAGCTGTTTAATCTCTGCGAGACCACAGCCGACGATCTCCTGGGCCACATTCACCATTCTCTGCAGTGCCTTTCTTTCTCGAGAAGAGGTGATCCTGTTGGTGAGGACGCTCTCGATGGTGCAGTGGTAGAACTGGCATCCCCCATCACTCGAGGCACCTCAGGAAATAGAGGCACTGCTGAGCTTTCTTCAAGATAATGTCCGTGTTCACAGTGCAGTTTAGGTCATTTTTTGAGTGGTGGCACTGTGGCTAAGGATCTGCGCCTGTGGCTGGAAGGTTGCCGGTTCAAATCCCGTGGCTGGCAGAGGAATCCTACTCTATTGGGCCCCGGAGCAAGGCCCTTAACCCCAACTGCTCCAGGGGTACTGTACAATGGCTGACACTGAGCTCTAACCCCAAGCCTCTCCCTGTGTGTCTGTGTCTCGTGGAGAGAAAGTTGGGGTATGCAAAAAAGATTAATTCCTTATGCAAGAAATTGTACATGGCTAAAGTGATCTTATCTTGTCTTATTAGAAATGTGAATTCAAAAAAAATCTAAAGCTGGTGACTGTTTCCACTTCCGTTCCATCAATACTGAGTGGGCTGTGAGTGTGCGGCCTTTGTCTCCGAAAGTCCACTGTTAGTTCTTTTGTTTTACTCACATTCATGTCTAGGTTATTGCTATGACACCACCTCAGCAGCTGTACGACTTCAGGCCTAATCAGTTGTGATTATCACATGCTCTTTGGAGTGCTCTAATTCTTGTGTCCTTCATGTGTGCTTTTGTGCTTTCTGCAGGAGTGAACTCGTTCCTGGTGTACATGGCATATAAGGATTTATATCAGATGACGAACAGTGAGGTATGCACACATTTGTTATTGCTAAATGTCAGCTGTGATGGGGGATCACTCAGGCAGTATTAGACACTGAAATATTCCAAGGAGCAAGGACAGAATTTTGCTGCAGCCTTTTTAATTTGGTTAAGCCCTCATGAACCCTCAGTATGGGGAGGAAACATATAGTCTGATCTCACTTCTTAATGCTGATGACAAGTCATCACTGTCATGTTGATTTTCTACTAATAATAATAGCAAGACTGCTTTGTCCATTTTCACTTATATCCTGAACGACTTTTAATTTCAGGTGCAGACAACGGGTTCCTTTAACTAGCACCATATAAGTAATTTTTACTTTTTAAAGAAATGTCACCAGCATTTAGTTGACATAATATTTAATTTTAGTGGTGTCTTTTTAACAGTTTTCTTACTTCTCTGGTGGTGAATGTGAATAACTCTTTATGTTTCAGCTGTATGAAATTTTCACTTTCCTGGGAGAACTCGGGGCCATTGTGCAAGTCCATGCTGAGAATGGAGAAATCATTGCACAGGTACTGGCTGCTCTTTTTTTACAGTGAGACAGATTCACTGTAGCAATGAAATTTTGGAAAAAATCTTTAAAATGAAAAAAGTCTTTCTAGCTTTCTAAGGTATCTGAGAGGTATTTTTGTTTGCTTCTTATTTCATTGAAAAGTGTACACATTGACAACAAATAAAAGTCTTTTAGTATAGGTATTGCCAAACAGTTTTAATGTTGAAATTGCATTATGTTTCAGTTTCTTTCAACTACTGAAACTAAATTATTGTGACTCTCAGCTTTTATTGCCCTGCTGCCTGTAGTCAGTGATGTGGTCTGTGAAAGAGACTTTAATTTGTCTTCCAGGAACAAGCTCGCATGCTGGAAATGGGAATCACTGGTCCAGAGGGTCATGTGCTTAGCAGACCAGAGGAGGTGAATATGATCTCTGTTTACTTTAAATCTGTGGGCAGCTGAGGACACGTCTGAACAGAGCTTCATTCACAACATCTCCTAGACCTAAAAAGCTGCATATTTGTGTGTCATTGAGGTAAAACACCAAGCTTAGAAAGACAAAGAGGACAAAATGCATTATTATATGAATTATTCTGGGTATGTCTGGTGGTAAAAGTAAAAGTAGTACTGTTGAATTTGCAAAATCCAAGAAACAATTGCACATTATACAACAGTACAGAGTAAGAAGTATACAGAAAAGAAGACAGAGTAGCTGGGAATAAGTGTGTTTTATACGGAAATACCTTTTATCCAGAATATGGAAGCATTTTTTGAGGGGGAATATATTCAGCAAAGAGCAGAGAACAGAATGCTATGTGATGTAGGAAGTCATCCTCTAGATGAGCTCTTTAGTTTACTGAGAAATAAGCTATTCCAAGAAGATGGTAATTTCAGAAATTTAAATGCACAATAAAGGGTTTGCATTTCTACTGACCAAGACTGTGTTTTGAATGGATTTGTGATTTAAATGTCTGCCTGCCCTCACAGCTTGAAGCAGAGGCTGTGTTCCGAGCCATCACTATTGCGAGCCAAACCAACTGTCCCCTTTATGTGACCAAAGTCATGAGCAAAAGTGCAGCTGACATCATTTCACAGGCCAGAAAAAAAGGTTTGTACCAAGCTTTTGTAGAAATGTGCTGTCCACT